ACCCTCTGTGAGAAGGTCTGGCTTCCAGTGTCCCAACGCGCGTTCACCGTCTCTCCTGGGGCATCTGTCACTCTCGTGCCAACTGGTCCTTGTGCCCAGCCCGGCATCCTGGAGCTCCCTGGTGGAGTACTTAAATCAGACCGTGCCTTGACATCCACTCTGCCTCCTTGATCTGGGCCTCGGTTTCCCCACATACACCGTAAGAACTCAGAAGTGTCTCCTGCTCTGATATTTGCAAGCCCAGGAAAGCAAGTCTGACAGGGACCGCCCATAGCTGACACCCAACAGACTGCACTCCGGCCCAGCCCCCAGCCTCCACGTGACCCATAAACTCTCCTAACTGAGCAAACACATTCTATTGGGCCTGGGGACACTTCCTGGCCAGCTTGTTCCCAACCTCCCTCGTCCTGCTCCCACCTAGCCAGTTTCCCACCATGGCACTTCCCCAGGGCCCCCCTGCCCACCCTTCAGCTCCACTCTGCCCCCTGCCCCTTCCCCCCAACACCTGCGTCCCCGGCCTTAAGGAGGGTGGAGGCTTTCTTCTCTTATCAGCTTTTTACTGCCCCCTCCTCCCTGATTACACAGTAATTGGGAGCAGAATTCCCCATAAGGACAGGTGGATGCCTTGTCAGCTCCCAGCCAACAGTTTACGGGACAGACTGAAAGGGTCCCCTCGGTGCTATCTCGGGGGACAGGTGAGGGGCATGCCAGCCAGGAAGAAGCAGAAAGGACACCAAAAGGAAGGGAGAGTCACCCTGGGCCAGGAGCTTCTGGAGAGGCTTGTGAAGTGAGGTCAGGGAGACTGGAAGGAAGACCAAAGACACCGGCACTCAGTCCAGCCCCGTCACGGACAGCCAGCCTGTGGTGGTTCAGAGACCCCCTACCTAAGCCTGCACCTGCTGGACAGTGGGAGCCCAGGTGCTCCGAAAGCCTATTCTGGAGTCCAGAGGCAGCAGAACTCAAAGTCCAAGAGGGCTTCTGGGAACACCTTTCAAGCTGCGGGTGGCCCGGATCGGAGTTGGCCCCCTGGGGCCCAAAAGTGGCACTCCAGCCTTCCAGAGGCTGGCCAGAGCCGGCAGGCAAGGGCCACAAGGCAGAGAAAAGGCAAAGGTGGACTTTCCTCTTCCTTCCATCTCTTTACCTTAGTCCGCACTGACAGTGACGTCAGGGACCCTGACCTAGCCTGCGGATTCTGAAAGCGACCACCCTGGAGAAGAACTTTGGCAGTACAACCGAACCCAGAGTGGCCATGGTGGCCCCCGTGACATCAAGCCTGCAAGAGCTCTGAGCCCACGGGCCTGGGTTACAGCCCATTCCAGCTCTCCCAATGTGAGCTGCCTCCTCCACCCGGGGCCGGGGGTTAGAGTAGCCCATGGAAGTCCGTGTGGAGACGGACTCGTGCTTGGATAATCTGACACAAGGCTCCCCGTGCTCCACCTCCGCTTGCCCTTTTGATTCCAGAAGTTCCAGGGGAGGAAGTACGCCACCCTCCACCAGCATCGCCCTGGGTGCACACAAAGTCCCCTTCTGCCTCTCCTCACAGCCGCCCACAGAGTGCCCCAAGGCAAGCCCTGCCCTCTGCAGGGTATGGAGAGGAAAAGCTCAGGGCGCTGGGGGGCCCCCAAGAAGCTGGGGCTGTCCTTCTCCATCGAGGAGATCTTAAAGAGGCCCACCGAGAGGAGCCATGAGGTCAGGCAAGAAGAGGCAGGTGGGCAGGACACCGGGCCAGCAGCAGCTATAAGCTCTGGACCAGAGAGGCCCCCACAGGCCCAGCCCCAAGGTAAGTGTCTTCTGGTCATTTCTTTTCCATTCCCAGGTCCCCACGAGCCAGCTGGGCTCAGGCAGAGGAAAAGCTGCTCCATTTCAATAGAACAGAAGGCCCCCAAATTCAAAGAGAGGTCAGGTGCTGGGCCAGTGCCTTTCTGTCTGGCCAGGACTGGGGTTTTTCAGATGCAGACCCCAAGGTTCCCTCAGCGGCAGATGCAGGGACGCAGGCCTGTTCCTGTAAGTCGGCCACAGCTGACAAAGCCGGTGCCCATTTATTTACACGGCATTCCCGCTGCGGTCGGTGCTGTCCTAGAGTCTCCTCTTTCATGTCAGTAGAAAAGCATGATTATCATAACTTGCCAGAGGAGGAAACAGCTCTGAAAGAGAAGAGGTGGATGATGTCCCCACGTTACACAGCCTGAGAGCAGGTCTGGGCTCTGACTGCCCCCAAACACCTGCTTAGCCCAACCCGGTCTTCTTCGTAAGCAGAGTCCAGCCTGCATGTCTTCCCGTGGCTGAAGCTTTGCCTGGGATCTGCCCACCCTGATCACCCTCCCAGGCCAGCAGCCCACCCCGGGGCATGTCCCCGAACAACAATGACAAGGCAGATCTCAGAGCTGTCCTTGAGAACCAGTTTGAGGAAGGGCATCGAGGTGGACACATGCACCTGCTGGGAGGCAGGAATCCTCCGTGTCACTCTCCGGCCTGCCCTGGCCTGCCACCTGACCTCAGGAAGGTCCCTTTCTCTCTGGCCTTCGCTTCACCCTCAGGGAATTGGTTGAGTGAGGGAAGAAGATGAAGGCAGCTAGGGAGGTCACAAGGGTCTGCTGGGGCCTTGTTGTCGGTGAGACTGGAGTATCTCACTCGTGGGGTTCCCAGTTCTCTCCTCTTTCAACCCCTTGAATCCAAAGAAAGGCTGGAAAGGCAGCTCAAGGGAGCCCACGATGCCCTCTCCTACCATCACCTAGCCCTGCTGCCTCCCCCAAGTTCAGTCTCCCAAGACAGGCTTGTGCTCCAGTGCAGGCAAGGGGAAAACCCTGGAGGGCTGCCCGTCCCCTGCAGCTGAGTCTATCATAGGAGATGGTCCCCAGCTTCATTTCTGGAAGCTCACTAATATCTTCCAGTGAATTGAATGAGCATTAGAAACAATTCTGGGAGTCTAACTTGAATCTCCCCTGCTGCAGCTACATAAAATCCATGACTGCCCTCTCTGTCCTAATAAGAGAGAAAGAGAGGTGAGGGAGGGAGAGAGAGAGAGAGGGAGAGAGAAGAAAGGAGAGAGGGAAGAGAGGTCCGATCCCCCTACCAGAGCAGCTTCCCTTCCCTTAGCCTGACAATGGCTGATGGCAAAAAGGGAGCCACTCATTCTACACCTCCCCCTGAAGATGCTGGCCTGCTCCATGTCAGCTATCCTGTTGGACCCAGAGCAGACCCCCAAGTAGGGGTTGGCCAAAATAGCACACATCAGGATGCATAGTGCCCTGTGGCTCTCGAGGCACTCCCCTGGCTGTTTCCCATGGAAATGCCACAGTGGTGAACCCCACCTTATAGATGATGGACCCAAGAAGAGCAGTCACCTGCAGAAACCACGTGAGTAGTTAACACTAGAATTGAACCCCAGTGGCCTGCAACTCTCCACTCGAGATCATTCTGGAATGCGGCTTAAATCTATACATCTCCCACCACACTGTAATCAAGCATTTCCAAAAGGCTAGTGAAGATTCCGCTGGTGGTTTCCAAAATGCGTTTAAGGACTACGCAGACTGAGTTTCTTTATGTCAAGAGTTCTGTAATTATTCCTATGCTAACCTTCTATTTCTGACACATGATACCAGTTATCCATTTATGGTCATGATGTGAGGGTTTCTTTTTTAAATGGATTGATTTATTTAGGTAAAACAAAAAGTCTATTTGGGAAAATGCTAAGCAAATAATAATACAAATGGGATGCCAACATGTCAGAAACTACAAAAGTAACTGGCAGATATTGCCCACGAGCTGGAGTCTGTGAGATGCTGGGCGTGGAGGATGGGGAGCTGGACTCCAGAAATCCGGCTTCTGAGCCCCCATCTGGTACTACTAATTCACAGGAGGACCTCGAGCAAGCTGCTCCCCTCTCCGGGCCTCCGTTTCCCCATCTGGAGCATGAAAGAGCAGGACTAGAATATTCTTAATGTTCCTCCGAGCTCAAATGTGCCATGACCGATTCCATGAAAAACTGATGGCTGGAAAGCCTCGGTGGTGTCACTCATGGTCATTTTCTGGCAGAGGCTTCCTCCCTGCAGAGAGGGGTGGAGGCTGTCCGTGCCAGGCAGGAGCAGGGTAGCCCAGAGCGGTGGGCAAGAGGGCAAATGGCCTCAGCAGCATCTGCCTCCCCGCTCCTTCCCAGGGGCGCAACCCCGCCCAGTGCTTGTTGCTATTGCTAATGCCTCTCCACATCCCTGTCCTGCTTTCCTCTGACACGCGGGGCCCCTCCGAGAATGCAAGGCAACAGGACCAGAAAAGGTGCATCCAGGGCCCCCCGCCCCAGTAATAAAAACAGAGAAATAACATTAACACTTAAAGGGCCTTGCAGAGGGGCTCGCAGAAGGTGACTGGCAAGCATGCTTTCTCTATCCCCATCACCTGGACAGCTGGGAAACCTGCAGCGCTGCAGGCTTAGTACCCCAGACTCTGACTCTGGGTCTAGGGTGGGGCCCAGGAATCTGCATCCTTGCAAGCTCTCCCAAAGGACCCTGATGTAGGTGGTCCAAGGACACTCTTGGAGGAGGCTGAGGCCCAGGGAGGCAAATGGCTTGTTCGGAGCTACACGGCTGAAACGTGCACGTGCGGGGCCCGCTCGGTCACCCAGGCCAGGGCCAGTGCCCTGCCTCCCCCACTTCTCACAGCAGCGACCCTCATGATCTCAGGCTTGGACCTTCTCACGTCTCAAGCCAGTGGAAAAATCCAAGAGGGTCTCCCTACTTGAAAGGATGCTGAGCCCAGCTGTCCGCTCACTCCTGAGAGAGGCAAGCCCCACCCTGAAGCCCAGGACCCTCCAAAGTCACGGGAGGCCCAATCACAAGGAAGCCTGACCTGGGGAAGAGAGAGGTCATCTGTGCCACCTAGGACCCTTTGCAGGGAAATTGTGATGCCTGGAGCAAAGGGGAGGGGAAGGTGAGGAAGAGGCCACCCCAGTGGGTAACCAGGGCAGGGTTTCTGGCCTTTGGGGGGGGCTCAGCTCTGTTCTCATCCATTGGGTGCTTACTCTGGTGGGGCTGGGGACTAGGGAGGTGAACAAAGCTGACCCAGTGAACATCCCCCTGGAGCGGGGGTGGGGTCAGCAGTTCAAGAGTCCTGGCAACATCCCCTTGGGGCAGTGCTTCCGTGGTGGAGCTGACCAGGGACAGGGTGGCATCCTTGGATTTTGCGGGAACCCTATTGCCATGGTCAGCAAAGTTTTTCTGCAAAGGGCCACTTGGACTCTGCCTTCACAGCTGAAATTCAACAATGTGTGACTGAGTGGGTGTGTTTGTGTTCTAATACAAATTTATTTATAAAGCCAGCAGAGGGTCGATTGGCCTCGGGCTGCAATTTACCAACCCTGAACCCCTTAGTGTGACATTCAAAGTCCTTCACAGACCTGCCCTGCTGCCTCGGGCTCACCCTCTAGGCACACAGAGTAGCCTGACTTCTGATCTTTCCTTCCCTTTAAATGCCTCCACACCTTTGCCCTTCAAAAGCCACTGCTCCTTCTCCCTTTCTTCTAGCTCCTTTCCGCCTTCTTTCTGCTCCCCTCCCACCCCACCCCCTTCCTTTCCTGGTCCAGTTGTAGCAAATCACCACCATACACCGAGTGGCTTAAAACAACAGAAATTGATTCTTATAGGTCTGGAGGGCAGAAGTCTGAATGAGCCACTGGTTTTCCTCTTTCTCCTCTCTCTTCCCCATCCTCCCTCCCCGACCACCCCATCTGGAACCCAAGGCAGCGGCACTGCTCTGCTCCTGGTCCCGGGAATTGGGAATCCAGGCTCAGGCTGCGGCCAGACCCATGGGTGTCTCATTGCCTTGTGATGAGCAGCTCTGACTCTCAGACAGGTAGATCCTGGGGCTCCCATCAAAGCAGGCAGGAGTGGGGCAGAAGGAGGAGAGCTAAGAGCCTGGAGTCCCCCAGGAGAAGTGTGGTTTTGGTCTCTCTCTGCCCCGCCCCCTCTCTCAGTCCCTGCCACCAGAACCTCAGCCGAAGGAGATCATGGAGACACTCCTAGAGGGCACCTGGGGGCTGATTCTAGAATTGAGAACCTGGCTGAATCTTAAGCCTGTGGGAGTACAAGGAAGAACAAGTCTTGGTCCCAGCTTGCAAAAAAGCATTGTCTTCCTGGGGGCTCCCCCAAAAAGCAGACCGGAAGGAAAGGATTGGAGTACAAGGGGTTTATGTGGGACATGCAAGGACACAGCATGGAGGTAGTGAAATCACACAAAGAAGGCATGTGTGATTAAGCCAGTGACCACTGTGGGAAACTGAAGCTTAAATCCTTTGGGAAATGGAGCAACTATACTCCTCAGAATCATCTGGGCTTTTGAGCGCAGAAATACACATCCTGGCAGTAGGAAGTTGATCTGGAGCAGAGAGGTCTGAGGGTTACAAGCAGGGCACTGACAACATTATTCTGATGATAGGGCCGCGGAACATCAGAGCCAGGAGAAATCAGAGCAGACAGGACACACAAAGCATCGGTTGTCATTTAAATTTGATTTATCCCTTGTATTCCTCATCCAGGCAAGTGACAAAGAGCGACTAAAATCTACTGACTGGCAGGCATATCTACTGCTGCACAAGGAATTATCCCCAAACTCAGTGGCTTAAAATAACAATACACATTAATTGTCTCACTCAGAGTCTGTGGATTGGGAATTTGGGAGTGACTTCACTGAGGAGCTCTGGCTCAGGGTCCCTCATGGGACTGAAGTAAAGACGTCATGTAGGGCTGCAGCCACCTGAAGGCTGGGCCAGAATAAAGGATCTGCTTCCAA